AGAAAGGACTTGTATCGGTAAAGTTTCTTCGGAAAGAATTTTTACGGAAAATTAACTAACGACCGGAGGCGTAACAATATATTAACAAATCAAAACGTTTTCATTAATCCTAATGATTATAAATCATAAGATAACCGAAACGTCAAAAAAATAACATAAATTGTCTATCCGACTATTCTCAACTTTGAAAAAAAAAGTATCAAATTCACGCCCAAATAACTTAAACTTTGGTTGGAATTTTGCACTTTACCCTTCATTACCTCTTACTGGAAACACATGCTAGGGATCAAACTGTGTGAGAAATATAACAATTTTACACAGAAGCTTTGGACCTAAACAACAAGAATAAGACTGATCGTAAGCAAAAAGTATTATGATAAAGGAAACGATTCAAGTATTTGGGAGACTGAAAATAACACCAAAAGAAAATCGACAGGTACGGTAGGACTAACATTGCGAAATATGCATGGGTTTATTTGCCATTTATACTTATTCTGGTTATAGGCCTAGACAGTTACGTACAAATTAGGCCTACTTTTTTTAGGCTCTAAGTAAATACTGAACACTAATATTGTAAGTCACTTTTCAGACATGCACAGAATTTATTTTTTATTTCAATATGTCATTTCCTATGAAATTAAAAGTTTTAACTTTAAAGCAGTGGATTATAACATCATCTGTACTAATTACTGAGTATTTGTCAATGTTTTATTGTTATAATTAGTTCTAATCCTAATCAATGATAGCCTAAACCTAAAAGTTAGACCTAACCATAAGTAACATAGCGTTAAGGTCAACAACAACAACACATAAATATAAGCCCAATGAATCATTCTTAAATTTGACAATTTAATTCAACTGTAAAAAGCAATATTACAAAAAACGTGCTTTTACGACAACTCTCTGGAGTTTAAAAATTATTAAAACTACATATAATACTTTATAAAATTTGGTAGATTAGGCCTATATCCCAAAGCCTCAAATATACATTTAGTTTCTCAGCTGATACCACAATGAAAAAACAAAACAAAAAATAAACACACAAGTTCGGCAAAAGTAGCAAATAAAGGTATTGTTACTTTAGTAGTTTACTGTAGTTATTATCGTATTTTATACGGAAATGTTCTACGTGATAAATTTTAATAACCCATCAGAAGACACCAAGGCACTAAAAATACTCATGTGCCCATCTATAGGTATAGTACAAATTAACCATTACGAAATACACTAATATCTTACATCTACACATCAAAATAATTTCCTTGAAGTAAAATGAAGACGTTTTCAATGTATAACATGATTCTTTTTGCTCTTTTTTATATGTAGATTTATAAAATATCCAGAGGTGAAGATAATGAAATTTTGTCCTTTGATGTTGGAATGCTTAGAAAGTCTGATGGCTATGTTGCCAGCAAAACAGATCAATTAAACTTCAAGTGAGATTTATATATAAGTTAGAGCTTTTACAGTGAGGAATATTTTTGGTTTAAACATGTACAACGTTTCAGTTGCTAATTCGATCATTCTCAAGTACACAGGTTTTAACGGTAATGTCTTTATTGTAACAAATGGCTTATATATACAGTATTCCGACTATTACTTGTATTTGTTGTACCCCAGCCAGCCTGGAGAGCTCTGAATTGGGCGAAACTCGTCGTCGGGAATGGATATGGTGAATATAGTGTGGTTGATATATATCATGATGTTAGGAAAACTCATAGATTCAAAAATTCAATTCAGCAACAAAAAAACGATACCTTATAATCCGAGCGCTTTTGAAAAGTCCACCTTTCGAAAGCGCTCATGTTATATAAGGTATCGTGTTTTTGTGTTATAGTGTGGTTGAAATACTACTATTATACATTCTTCTAGGTTTTGAAATTCTCTAAAGGTCTAGATAAAGAATGCAGTGTTTAATATATATATAATAGGCCTAATATTAATGTTTTATGACCAATATAATTAATTATAATCATACTTCGCCAGCTTGTAAAGGGCGTTCACCATATCAATTGTTTTGGTAAAAACGGTTTGTTTTCTACATTTTTCCATAACAATAAAGTAATAAATATAACATCTAGTTACTTATTTGGTCCATTAATGATTGTTGACACTAGATGTATCTTATGGTACAATTCCAGATATTTATTGGACATTTTGAAGTAGAGGAAATTGATTACTTATGAAGAGCCTAACAAAGTATTATAAATTCCATGCTTGTTACTACTAATAATAAAATATTGATAATATGACATAAACTTAAAAATCTAACAAAGATGCTAATAAACATTATTTGCTAAAATATATTCTGACTTTTTGTTTGAAAGTGCAGATTTCGTCATGTATTTGATCAAGACGTAGAACAGGAAGTGATATTTCAAACTGTTGCCCAACCTGTTATAGATAGGTACGACTATTTTTAACATACAAAAATGTCAAGCAGTTTTGGGTGTTTGCATCTTTCACTTGCCGTTTTTTTTTGTTGTTTAGTTAGAGAAAGTTCAGTTAAAACAAGACTCTTAAACCTTTCCAATATTCCAGTTTGTTTTACATGCTCTTGCAAGATTTTAAATGAATCAAAGAGTACACAAAGAATTCAGTTCTGTATATTTTATGTTTCTTTGGCCCCTTATTTTTCCAAGTTCTTTTAATTAAGCTTTCATTTACATCAACTTTGTATGAGACCATGCCTAAAAAAATCATAATGTATATAGTATAGTAAAGACTTTAAAAGTTAAAAATAAAAAGTTAATTAATATTGTATTAAACTTGTATGGTGACAGAAGATCGACTATGTTGGTGTTGTATCACTTTAAAAACGCGGTAGTTTGTTTTGTTATTAAACGAATGTTTACAGCAGTCTAATTTACATTCCAAAATAATTCAGAACTTAAAAACTAAAATCTTTAAAAATAAATAAAAAAGTGTGATATGCATATCCCATTCCAGACCTTGGGGGAGGGGGGGGTTCATTGACATCCCTTTTAGAACAAACTATATGTCGCGAAATTTTCAAAGTTTTTAGACATTTCATTTGAAAAAAAAAATAATTACAAATATTGTCTTTCGTAGTACAATTTATTTTTTTATCGTTAATCAGAAAACTCCAGTTTATGTATTCAGTCAATTTCAACTTGATTGATTTTCTCTGAAATCATTATTTTGAATCTTTAATTTTGCTGATTGCACTAGTCACCATTTCCAGCTATGGATTGTAAAGAACCCAGCATAAATTGACAAAGATTTTTCGTTAATCTAGACCTTTCAAAATGGTATCAGATCATTCTAGGTAATAATATTTTTTTCTAACAATATTTATATTTAATAAATATACTTTATTTTCAGTAAATTATGAGTTATTTCAGTGTGTTATAAGAAAACGTTAAAATTGTCAATAAAATTCAAGTAAGGATTTGAATCACCGCAATATTTTGCTTTCGCTACCTGACTATCTAAACCTAATATGCCTAACCCGATGTGTTACCATAGCATCTGTTGTGAACAGCTATCTGTAATAATAAATCGCCAGACTGAGAAGGAAATAGTACGTGAGGTACAAGAATTTATTCTCAAGGGATGGTCATTTCTTAACAAACAAAAACCTAGACAAAATAAAAAATATCGGTAAGCGCCTCGTTTATACGGGGAGACTCCTAGGAGCTGTGCAGGAATGTAAATTTGAACCTTTCTTTTTTACATTTTTCTCTGAAAATTACATTAATGAAATGTTCCAAAACGACAAAATATCAATTATAAAAAAATATGATAAACAGTTGTTGCAATAAAGTTAGAATTAATATTTATAGTTAAATTTTGAAATACGATATGCAGGTGTATATTTGACTCCTGAATGGAGCTTGCCAGTATATAATGATATACTATAGATGTTTTTAACTCCGATTCTTAGTTATTACTGAACAAAAAAAAGGGGAAATTATCAAATAATCTAGAATACAGATTTTGAACTTCGGGAAATGTGGTACATGCCTTTCTAAAACAGGGTTATATTCGACATTTTGAAAATAGTAATTGCAGACACGAAAAGTATGTGTGTGTAGTTATGTCTTTTGGGTCATGTTTTATATACACCTCCAAATTTTTCTATGTATGATATCAATTTACAGAACAGTGATTCTACTGATTTATTTTAACTTCATCTTCATTTCTTTAGCATATATAAACTAGTAATATCTTTTATTGAGCTCCGATTCAACCAATACCAGGAATATGTATTCATATATAAATGATAGATGGTTGAACAGTACGTTTCGCTTGTGTTACAGGGTTCTGGTTGGATATAACGGAACAATATTTGCATATGGACAAGTAAGTGAATGTATATTAATTATGATTTTGTGGTATTGTTAGATCCGTCCAGTACATGTCTCTGTAACATGCTACTAAGATCTGCTTTTAATATGCTCCACTTTTAGGCCTTTTTATAACATAATCAAGCTTTCCGGCTGTGTGCTGCATCCCTTCTTCTGACTTAACTGGCTCTGGAACTATCTCCATGCTCAGCACTGAAACTCAACTGTGTATGGGGTGGGGATGGGGAATTGCCCTCCCAAAACCCATGCAAACCGAGTCCTTCGGACAAATTTTTACCTCAGATTAGGGCAAAATAGAAAAACGGTAACTTCATTTTCAGAGGTCACGAATCCTGCATTCCCCCACACCAGCGTAGGTAGGAAAATTAAGCTCAATAGTACAAGTGGTGGAAATATTTGATCTTGTATTTAACAGTTATTCCTCTTTCAAAACTATTAAGTCTCCTATTTTGCACAGACATTATGCTTCAAGCTGTTATTATCATTACGTAATTGATTGTTGATTAACTCTAGCAAAATTCATAAAATACTTTCGAATTTGATCTAGTGACATTTAGCGATACACGTATTGATGATTAGTATGCATATCGCCTATGTGTCCCAATGAATTTCATTTTGCACGCATTCATTATCAGGATACTAACAGCCGCGCTTATTAATCTCAGATCCTTGGGAGTCACGGTTTTGCAGAAATGTCGTCGTCATCCGCTCCCACAAAGTCACGTAAACGACACTACCGCCAGCGTGTTATGTGCGAAGAGTGCGGTAAAGAATTTGACTCGGACTATAAAGACAATCACGTGAAAATAATTCACAAAGGTGAGAAAGTTAAATTCAGTGCAGTGGTCAATGCAAATCAATCACAACCCACTGGTTTCTTCATTGGGAGCACAAACTGTCGAAATCTGGAACTTGCTGAAGAACGAGCAAGCGGAAGCAGCGACAGTGTTTATGTACACAAAATAGTCCAAATATTAAATCAAAAGAAGTGGTCCATCCAGAAATAGGATTAGAGGATATCGCCGATGATGAGTGCAGTGTCAGTAATTCAGACTTTGCTATGGAAAATATTACCATAAAAGCACAGATTGTTGTGTCCGAGACCGATATCGACTCTGCTGTCGTATCAGTCCCAACCAAATATCAGATCCAATATTTCGCATGTGCGGATGACTTTGTAAATGATTCGTTCATTGTAACGCCTGACGTTGATTCAAGTTCTGATGATGAAGAGGAAAATTATGAACCTCTCTCAGCTGCGACACAGGAGTCAACGGAAGACTCCACCTCTAACCAGTCGTCGGCAACCTCGAATACACCGAAGCAACCTATTTTAAGGGGGTTTAATCCAAAGAAGTTCGGGAGAGAAACCTCTTACAGGGATTACACAGATACTAAAAATTGTATCCACTCTTGTTGTGGAGCGGATCATTTATGATGTGCTGATGAGCGGAAAGTTCAAAATAATCATGAATGAAACCTCGGATATTAGCCAAATAGAGCAAGTGGCATTTTGCCTGAGATGCGTTTTGAAGGATAAAACAAAAGAGGCATCCATTGGATTCCTCTCGACAGCATCAAATGAGAGCGAAGTATTATATGAGATCGTGAAAAGAGTTATCAGTGGACTTGGTCTGAAGTTAGAGGACATTGTCGGCGAGTGTTTCCATGGTGCATCTAATGTGAGTGACGTTCATAAAGGAGTAGCGACTCGAATGAAAAAGTGTTCACATCAAGGAATATATACGCATTGTTACGACCACCTCCTCAATCTCGCGTGCAGGATACCATGAGTGAGATAGATCCATTTAGAAATGTGCTTGGGACAATCCAAAGCCTTTATTATTTTTTGGAAGCAAGTCCTAAACGCCACACTCTGTTCATAGATGTTGAGGTGGATGATGAACACATCGTTCTTACTCTAAAATCCTTGAGTCTAACGAGATTGTCATACCGATGGGAGGCAGTGAAAGCCATCAGTGAGAAGAAGTAAAAAATTATCAAAGCTCTCCTCATCTTAGTGGGAGATAATGATGCTAAGGTGTATGCTGTACTTTTGAATGTTGTTTGTAATTTTGGATTCGCGTTTGGATTGCTCCTTCTGAATATGATATTGTTAAATACCAGCAGTCTTAGTAAATATCTGTAAGGAAAGAACATGGATGTTATCACCGCCAGGAGAGATACAGACCTCACCATCAAGACCCTCAGCAACTGTCGGGACGAGGATAACTTCGAGCGATTGTAGACTACAGCCCAGATAAAAAGAGGAAACGAAAGTGTGCTTGATTTAAACCATCCCACTGCTTGCAAATGCTCATCGGCGAATCAACTGATACTGCGCATGTACAAACCCCGAAAGACATGGTTTACTCTACATACTATCGAAGCCTTGACAAATTACTCTGTAAATGAAATCGTGCTTCGAAGGTAACGACTAAGACATTTTGTGTGCCTCGTGGGACATTGTGCTGAACAACTGACTTTCAGATGACAGCTTCGAAGTGGTATCAACTTTTTTATGACATTAACGAAGACCTTCTAGAAGTCGAGAAAAACATGTGTGTAAACTCCATTGCTGAACATTCGAACCCTCTGCTGAAGACAGCAGCATATGTTGTCAACAATATGTTTCAGGATAGACTAAATGATATACGGGATAACGACCACCCTGGTATCATTTCCGACCACTGCATGCTCGGCGGAAAGGTCCTTCAGTGGATTGCGACACATGAAGACCTACCTTTACACAACAAAGCAGTTTGAACAGTATTGCTATTATAAACATTGAGCGAACTTACGCTATTAGGACTATTGAAAATTACATGGACAAAACCATCGACACCTATCGGTAGGAGAAAGGGGCGAGACGCTTATTTTTCTTGAGCCTTTGATATTGATTTTAGTAGTTGTATTTAGCAACCCACGTGTATTGTTTCATTTTCGTCATTTTTGTATATTCAGGATGAGCATAGTGTTTGTTGCATATTACATTATGTATAAATATAATTATTAGTGTTATTGTCCAAATTAGAGCAAAAGTTTGTTTGCCTCTCAAAATTGATTTATGCCCACACACCTATGCTTACAACCCGAAGAAGGGTGCAGCAAACAACCAAACACTTTGATTGCATACTAAGAAAAGCATTCAGTGCTGTTGTGTGAAAATAAATATTAGCACGGTAATTAACATCAACAAAACGACGTGCATGTTTTTGATTACACTTTCTTTGTTACAGTTAAGTGAAAAATCTGTTATATAGGCTTACACAAAGACACATTTATGGAATTATCCAAAAAATATTATTTTTGTCCAGTTTTATTACTACGCCCTAACAAAAAAATGTGAACTCACACCTTTAGTGGCATGAAGTACTGGTACAGGAAATGTATATAAACAGTTATGCATTTAACAGATCCTTCATATCCAGGTGTTTCTTACCTTTTGCTTTCTTAGATCCTTATAGATGTGAATTCCCATCCTTTTACCACAATTCATATTACACCCCGATCACATTTTTTCATTACCTCCAGTGGCACAACTGTTTGTCTGCGGATTTACAACGCTAGAAACGAGGGTTTTGATACCCGTGGTGGGTACAGCACAGATAACCCATTTTGTCGCTTTGTACTTAATTTAAAAAAAAAACAACACTTTATTCTTATATTGCAGTCTTGGTTTATTACGAATCAACTTACCAAGTTTTGTTAATTATCAAAATACTGTACTGTTTTAGTGTCATAGTTTTGTATGCTGAACTTTTTTTTTAGACAGGCAGCGGCAAAACTTATACGATGACCGGTGGAGCAGAACATTATGGTCAGCAAGGTATTATTCCCAGATCAATATGCTACATGTTTGATTATTTTCAACAGGTAAGCATAGCACCTAAGATATAGCTGATTATCATTTCATAAATTGTATTTTATGTTTGTCACAATTAACCTCAAATTAAAGTAATTACTAAAACAAATATTTAAAATGCTACTCTCAATACTCATCTACACGAGATAGAAATTATAAAAAGTTGTTATATATGACATTAGAGATTTTTGTTGGTGAACAATTATGAACAGTAATATCTAGTTTCAAAATTAGTATTTCATGATTAGGTTTGCCAGTTTTGAGGCACATTTTTGTAGTTCACTACATATATATATATATTCACGAAAATTTTAAACAAAACGTCAACCACATTTTATTCTCTCGTCATTTACCAAATTTCCTAATATATTATATTCGTATTAATAGAAGCAATTAGCAATAAGGATATTAAGAGAAGTTTGTTTGATGTTTACCTCCATTCTGAATCTTTAAATAAGGAATTGATTTAGTAAGAAAACATTTACATTATAACATGTTCTAAATGGTAATGGTGAAAATTTAATATATGTATATATATTTCATAATTGCCTATACTTTGGATAAATTAAGATATGCAGTACTTTTATCAATACGTTTAGAAATCGTGCAGTGATTAATTATGTTTTCAATCTGATAAATATAATAATTCAATAAAGAACTCGCTTAAACAATCCAGAAATTCATTAATTGGCTATTAATGTATTTCGTTAAAACCAGGATAAATTATTATCATGTCACTAAACTAATAAAATATCTGGATTAGAATAAACTTTCACTCAAATCAAAACCGGAAACCAGTTCGGCGATGACTACAGTCATCTAAATATATCGGTTTAATGCTCATGCATATAAAGATTAGAATACATTGTTTCATTCATTGGACATCCACGCTGTTAACGATATTATCGACCGTAAACCCAATTATACTTGACAAATTTAAAATCAGGATAACTAATTATCATGTCACATAATTAGTGAAATATGAGGGTTCAAAACCCCCGTGTTCATCGAGCATTTATTATTTCCAGACCGACGTCAACAACTTCCGTGTTTATGTATCGTATCTGGAGATATACAATGAAGTGGGTTACAATCTTATACCAACAAACGAAGCTAAGAAACTAGAAGACTTGCCGTACGTTATTAAACTCTTGTACTCTCGAGAAGGCTAATTTAGTAATGACAGTTACCTTTATTTATCATAATATATAAATTTATGTACATATTTTAGGCATGAGTTTTACCAGAAAACAGGTTAAGTGTGTTAAGCCTGATTTGCACCAGAAAACAGAATAAGAGATTTTAGTATATTGAATAAGAGTTTGTATGTTTATATTTAATCACAAAGCTACACAGTGGGGCTATCTGTGCTCTGCCCACCACTGGTATCGAAACCCGGTTTCTAGCGTTTTAAGTCCGCAGACATGCCGCTGTCCCACTTGGGGGCCAGAATAAGAGAGTTAGGCTTGATTAGCACCAGAAAACAGAATAAGTGGGTTAAGCCTGATTTTTATTTACCTACTTTAATAATGTTTTAATGAACACAAGTTCCCACTGATTTTAATCAAAATAATTTTGAGCATGTAAATTCATTGTAAAAATTACAATATTCTCAAGTGCTATTACAATACACGAAGACATTTGTATCATAGAGTACGAACATTGAAGATATTTTAATCGAAATTACGAGTGTCATGCATGGGCGACATGATATTTCTTAATTATGATTTCGGTTTATTTGTTTGCTTTTCGGATAATCGCGCAAAGCTACTCAAGGGCTATCTTGACTAGCCGTCCCTAATTTTAAACTGATAGACTAGAGGGAAGGTAACTAGTCAACAGCATCCACCACTAACTCTTACACTACTCTTGTCTTACCGAATAATTGAATTTGACTGTCACCTTTATAACGCATGTGAAGTAGGATTTATTTTTTGCGGTCACAGGACGCGAACATTGGACCTACATATTCATAGTTCGGTACGCTAACCACAGAGCTACATTAGACCAGTAATTTTGGAATACGATTAGAAATTATCATAATAATGAAAGCAACCGAGGCTTATAGTTTTGTAAACTCATTATATCAGACAGTATAGCAGAAATTTCCAAACTAGGGTCTACGAGATGGTGTCTTTACAATTTTCCAGACAAAACAATATTTTTAGCGAAAATGTTATTTGGTGCAATAAATATGACTGTAATACGTGTTTATGCTTGACATTTTTTTCAAAGACTAAATTGCAATATAAATAAGGTACCTCAGAGTGACTGTTATTTAAATTTTATATTAGGTGGGGGCCCTCAGCCAGGGTGTCTGAGGATTTTTTTAGGGGTTTGTGTGTTATGTTGAAAGGTAGGGTACCTCTGGATTAGAATACAAATAAAAGGAGCAGGTTCCAGGACATTGAGATGTTTTTTTTATTATTTTGGACTTAAAAATTTCGAATTTCTAGTGAGATCTCCAAAGCGGAACTGTTCTTCTGAGAAGACAATGCGAGAGTGAAGAGGGCGCACGAAACTAGTTTCTCTAATATCAAACTTCAGATAGTTTGTTCCGTTTACTATGGTGCATACTGGTGTATAGAAGACACTTTAATACTATAAATAAATGACCCTATAACACCTAAATTTGTTATTTTCTTTAATATGATACTCAACTTTTCGGTTTTAACGTTGAGTGTCCAATTAAAGAAAAATAACAAATTTTGGTGTTATAAGTGCGTTTATGTCTAGTAGTACTAAAAGTCTTTGCTATGTTGAATAAACGTTTTCTTTGGGCTGTAGAAGTACGTGCTTCAAGTTTGCGTGCAGCTTTTCGGCAATTGAAAATGCTTCATTAATTTCATATTTCATCTTCCCAATCCCCCTGGTTAGGGCACTCGACTCGTAATCTGAGGGTCGCGGGTTCGAATCCCCGTCCCACCAAACATGCTCGCCCTTTCAGCCGTGGGGGCGTTATAATGTGACGGTCAATCCCACTATTCGTTGGTAAAAGAGTAGCCCAAGAGTTGACGGTGGGTGGTGATGACTAGCTGCCTTCCCTCTAGTCTTACACTGCTAAATTAGGGACGGCTAGCGCAGATAGCCATCGTGTAGCTTTGCGCGAAATTCAAAAACAAACAATTACCCAATCCCTTGAATTAATATAGATTTTACCAGGTTACTAAACGGTAATTCATGATCTTTTGTATATAACTTCGGCAGTAAGGACTTTAGGGGGGGGGGGGTTCTATTTTCAAACAGTGCTTCGTACTTTCTGTAAATAAGGCCAATTTTTCGATAGTTCTTGAAAATATTTTGATATATACTTTAATTCCATCTTGGATACCATTATAATAGTAGGTAAATGCAATCAAAAATAAAGTTTTAATCGACATTATCGAAACAACAACAAATTTATATGGATAAACGATTTGACACTTTCACGTGACCACTTCAGTCCAGTGATTTTTTGTGAGAGAAGCACACGCACTGTTTATTTTATAACAGAAGTTCCAAGTCCCTTAAACGGGTTCAGATTAAAATGATCTTGAAATTAAAACACTTTCTAAAATACTTCTTTTGACATGATTTCTAGTTTTATTTCCCCGAAAGGGGAATTAAGGTCGCCCGGAGAGGTCACCTGTTTTAACCATTCGCAGTCAGTCAGTCAGTCATTCAGGTATGTCTGCGGACTGAGACCGCTAGAAACCGGATTTCGATACCAGTGGTGGGCAGAGCACAGATAGCCCTTTGTGTTGCTTTGCGCTTAACAACAATAACAGTCAGTCAGTAGATACTAAAATAACGTCACATAAGGGATGCTAACGTTGCAGTTTGTACTGTCAGTAAAACGTGCGCATACCATAAATGACGAGAAGAATTATACACTCTGTAGGCTACAGCACAGCATGACATATGAACTTCAAAAACAAAAAAATAAAAATGTTTGTTACACTTAATTTTAGTTTTATTTATTTATTTTTGAAACGTAACACTGCGGAAGTATATCTAGTGTATTATTTTGGCTGATTTCCAGTTGATTTTATGACTAACATGTGTAGAAAAATGGTATTATTTGTTTCACCATTTTTAACGTCCTTTTTATGTTCTGCAAATATTATATCCAAATTTCTTAACGTTTCACCAACATAAACTTTATCTTGTGGTACAGACTTCTTCGAGGGTAAGAAAAATTTAAATAGCTTTGGAATTGGTATTTTTCAGACATATTTCTTAAGCCACAATATTAGAATTGTAGTTGACACTAAGTATTTTATTTTCACGTGTAGATGGCGCTGTTTTCTGGTTAACGTTTCTAAAAAATGTCTTCCTTGTCTTTTGATGGGCATTTTTGATTAAGCCTATATATAACCCTTTAAAAACTATATAAATATATTTTTATTCTTCATTAAGGATGGTGTGGTGACGAATTTTATAAGGTTTAAAAAACATTGAAGTTTATAACTGATATTTTAACCACTTTATGGTGACATGAGAAAAATTTAGCATAACTTAAAGCGTTTGTTGGTTTTTCCATAAATAAAAAAACAGCAAATCTTAATCCTCTAGTTATAAGTATGTCTAAAAATAGGAGCGAGTTATTGGTTTCCCATTCAACTATAAACTTAATAAAACTGCACAGCTTGTTAATCTTCTGGAAAAAGGCTTGAAAATCGTTTCTATTATTCGGCCAAACAGGAAATATGTCATCAGCATATCGGAACCAGGGCACTTCCTTTGTATTCATATCTACTATAGGAAGTAATTCGCTTTCAAAATGCTCCATAAAGATAATAATAACGATACAAACGGTTGAGAAGACTCAAAACATTTTTGTTCATAAACTTTATTTTCCTCATCATTAATCTACATGAAGACGTTACATAGAATTGGGGATAAAGGATTGCCCATAGCCATTCCATATTTTTGTCTGTAATATTGTACCATGCACGTGAATATATTATCTTCATTACTCTTTTCTACTAGGAAGATAATAAGTGGACAGATACAGGAAGCGGAATGCTAGGTTCACATATTTTGTTTTCTTTTGAGAGGGTCTATTGTTTCACTAATTAGTGCGTTTTTGAACATCAAACTTATCATCTTTCTTTCATTTACGTAAGGTTTTTGTTTTACTGGCGAAATCCGCATTATTCGGGATATGTGACGATGAAAACGTTTTATTGCAGGATACAGGTTTTGTGCTAGCCACAGTTGATCCTACATTAGAAATACAAAACATTTACTAAAAAGTCCACACCTTACCAGTGATTTACAGAAACGCTGCGGTTGGATGTTTTCTAAGGGTTTATCAAACAGCCACATCTTGCCAGTGATTTACAGAAACGCTGCGGTTGGATGTTTTCTAAGGGTTTATCAAACAGCCACATCTTACCAATAATTTACAGACCCTTTCGATTACTAACCAGTTTTGTTACAAATGTGTTTTAACATTTGTTTATTGAAATAACATCTCTTAAAGAATCCATAAAAATAAACTTCTGGACTTAAACTGATTAACTAAATAAAGAATTCCAGAGACAAAATTACCTTAGAAATTAAATCAAGTGTCTACAGCTCAGCGTCACTTAATTGATAAGCTCCTGATAGCCCTGAAAAACCCTCCAACCTTTATAGAAGACAGACAGACAAGAGCCCAACTATAAAGAAAACTACGTTATGGAAGGATGGAAGAAGACACAGACATATCGAGCGTAAATATAGTCCCCCAGTGGGTCAGCGGTAAGTTTATAGACTTACAACGCTAAAATCTGGGGGTTTTGTTCCCCGCAGTGGACGGAGCGCATATAGCCTATTGTGTAGCTTCGCGTCAAAACAACGTGAATATAGCAAACACATTTAAGAAAACATAATGTAATAAGTTATATCATAAAATTTCGAATATAATAAGTTTGTTTTAATAAGATTAGAGTATGGTATGAATTAACAAACACGTTTCACTGTAAACAAAAACGTGTGAAAGTTGTGATCTACAATAGATATCGCCAAACAAGTGTACATGTACCTACACACCCTTCCTATGCGTTTGTTGTGTAATTTCGTTCATATTTTGTTTGTTTCTTTCTTTCTTTTGTTGGATTTCGCGCACAGCTACATTAGATCTGTCTGCGCTACCAGTACCTAATTTTGAACTGATAAACAAGAGAGAAGACAGCTAGTCAACACTACCCACCGCCAATCCTTAGGCTACTCTTTTCAGACTAAATAGTAGAATTTGACCGTCACTCATAACGTACCTACGCAGCTCCAAAGTGCAGAGCGATATTTTTTCTTATTGGAGGGATAAAAAAATGCAAGCCACAACTTCACAATCCGACACACCAACTACTAAGCCTTGCTTGACTAACACACTTATTTAGGATTGCAAATCCTGGGGCCAACCAATGGGACTAAAAAAGATAAACGCAGTTATTTAATTTGAAAGAAGGGAAAACAAACTTTGTATTTGTCTGCCCTTCCCAACTGGGGTCCTCGGGAACTTGTGTATGGTTGGCTAATACATTTATTTGGGAGTGCAAATCCTAGGCCTTTTAAGTTCATAAAGTGTAGAGTATCAGAAAAGTTTATATATTTCAAAATGACTGGTAGCACAACAGTTTTATGACACGTCATTCAGGTGTGGGTGACTTGTGTAATGTTTACGTGTCTATAAGTAATCATCACGACAAAACAAACAATAATACTATTTATGTATACTTTACAAGCAAAGTGACCATTCAGGAGGACGACAATGGAAGTATGCATTTGAAAAACCTAAGTGTCCACTTGGTCCAAAGTAAAGAAGAAGCTCTGAACATACTGTTAATCGGGGATACCAATAGGATGATTGCAGAGGTAACGTTTTCTTATGTGTGTATATACATATAAGTACGTATACAAAACACACAAGCGGACTTGCACTAGTTAAAAATCAGTTATAAAAACAGTTACTGGAGCTTTCAAGTGTATATTTATTTCTTACCTAGTGCTTATTTTATGGCTTTTATATACATTAGTGCTTAGTCTCATGAACCATTATATATATATCATCATTTAGCACCTTCCATAACAAAATAAAGGGTAATAAGAAGCAGAATAACAGAAAAAAAATAGAACATGGGTTTAAAATAGAACAAACATACATAAGATTCTTCTTACTTAGTCTTAAATTTATGTTCAGTGTTTTAGTTTCTGTTATATTTTACTGTGATCTTTATATTTAATTATTTAGGTCATTCTTTTTCTACTTCTGTTTTGGTATTTAATCATGTGTATGGTCAAAAATGTTCACTAACATGAATGTATAAAGTTATTAAAGAAACCACTGTCATTATATAATAGTGTTGCGTCATCGAGGTCACGTGACTGGTGTGGCGCCACCTATTTTCTAGAACTATCCTGTACCTTGGCGAATGCTCTAGTATTTACTAGATATAGGGTATCTGGTATATAAAAGAGGGTGACAACGTGACGGGATAGTAATGTGTGTGTGTAGATAGTGAGTAATTGAACTGCAGTCACAGGGTATTGTTGAAGTTAACGTTCGTTCGTTATAGTGTTTGTTTTAGCGCGAATATTGAAATTATGTGTATCGTAAAGTTATATTCGGAAAGAATAAACCAGTTTTATTAAGTAAAGACTTGTGCCGTTAAAATTTTGTCGGAACGAAGTTACGGAAAATCAATTAACAAACGGAGACGTAACACCTACAACTAGGGGCCCTAAAAAGTAAACAAAGGCTGGAAATGGTGTCTACATTATTTTCTCAAGCTTGTTTGTTTGAAGTTAAGCACAAAGCTACACAATGGGCTGTTTGTGTTCTTCCCACCACGGGTATCAAAACCCGGATTATAGCATTCTAAGTCCGCACACATATTCTCAAGCTACACATACTTATTTTGACTCCATGTCTACAGCCCTTATGAATTTTATTGGAGTCAAAATAAGGATTTGTAGCTTGAGAAAATAATGTAGACACTATTTCCAGTTTTGTTTGCCAGTTATATGTTTGAAAATATAATCTTTGCATTTTTATTCAACTTATTTCTGTACGATCCCTGTTCCCCCTTTTTAAACTAACAATTTTTACTAATATTGTTGCATATTACAACCAATAGCTTTCTGATTTAGTTATTAAAGTTTAAGATCAATTTTCGGGTCTGGGAAGAACCTAAGATAAGGAAGGGATGGGTTATCACAGTTGAAATAACTCTTTATTCTAATCTTCCATAAATAGTTTAGAACACAACTTTAGTATGGTATATTTAGTTCTTTTTTTCTTCAATTGTCGTGAAGGGTTAT